CTCCAATGAGACCTCTTTCCACTCCTCTTGGGGAGGGCACTGCTGGGGGCAGGGGAGGCTTAGCTGGAGACGTTCGGAGATTGGGAGGAGCATGTGGTGCGTTGAAACATCTAAGTGGCTTTCACGAGAGAGAACGGGGACCTGTTTTGGGGTTGGGGCCAGCGACGGGCAGGCGGGTGTGTTTGCAGTCTGCCCACCCCGGGGCTCCCAGCTCCGCGTAAGTGGGCACACGCGGGCCCGACTCAGAGAGCACCCGGCTTCTGTCGGCTCAGGTGAGCAAGCCCCTCTACAGTCAGGGCCGTTCAGAGGCAAAGGGGCTCTCAGGAGGCCACGAGCTGGCTGTCTGTCCGTGCAGGCTTCAGAGACAGACAGACTTGGGGCCCCACGCGCTGGGTGACCTTGGGCAGGTGACCTTGGAGAGACTGCGGGGCGGTGGGGCCAGCATCTGACTGTACCATTTGCTAGCCTGTGGCCTTGGGCGATCTGCTTCCTCACTTCCCTCTGGCTTTCTTTCCGCTTCTGTGAACAGGAGCACCTATCGTGCGAGGCTGCAGGGAGGGTTGGCTTAATCGGCAGCTGGTGCAAGCAGGCTGTCTGCATGTCTGTCTGCTGGTCCCGAGGCCACTCCACCCCCAGCAGGACAGACACGGTCCCCAGTGCCGGGATTGTAATGATTGTTCATATCATCCCTGGCCCGGGGCCTGCCTCGGCGTCTGGGGCTCTACCGAGTGGGAATGTGTGGATGTTTCCTGGCCGGCAGGGAGCCGCGGAGGAGCTGTGCCCTGCATCTGCCGGCGTCTGATTCACCACTTCCCTCCTCCGCCTCTTCCCTGCCCACTTGCAATGTCCTCATCTTGTCTGTGGTGAGCTGCCCTCAGCAGCGGCTGCCGTGAGGTGACGGATGGGCAGCGATTGCTTCCTCTCCCTACACCCGGCCCACAGGCTCCGCTCCCTGCCTCCCCTGGTCCTGCCCATCTGATCTCCTGGTCTGGGGCCACCTTCTCTGCGCCCAGATTCTAGAGGCAGGTAGACCTTTATTTAGATTCAGACACTCCTTTTTTCTCACTGGAGACACCCTTGGCTGAGAGCCAGGGCCTCCGGCTGTGTGTTCTCCAGACAGAACCGTGGGTGTGTCGCGCAAAGCAGGAGGACATCAGAGACCATTTTGTGCAAACCTTCCTTCTCCCCGAATGCGCAAACCCCTGCCTCCCCTTTGCCATGTGGTAAACTGAGGACGAGTTGAAGCGTTTCCCCAGAGAAACCGCAGTGAGTTCCTGGTGAGTCCCCTGGGGCGGCAGCTCTGCTCGGCCCGAGTCTGGCCTCTGTGGAAGGCTCCGGGGAAACAGAACCCGACCGTGGGAGGCGAGAGCCGGTTTCTCTCCAGGCGTCTAGGACGCTCTACTTACCCAGAGACCGAGGGGAACGCATGTCAGGGGAGGCAATGAGGGATGCAGTCAGCCGGGTCCTCTCGTGCTTTCAAGGAGGAAAATGCCCCCTAACGGGAACTGACTGCAGGCGCATTTTGATTCTTGCGAACCGACCCGGTCCTCAATCCCGAGCTGCCTCCTCTGTGGATCCGTTACCCGATCAGCCCATATTCACTGGGATGATGAAGGCGGCATAGTCTGTCGGGAACCACTTAACCGGAGAAGCAATGGACCTGTTCTCACCACCCCCAGTGCCTGTCCTCGGGCCTGGGGAGGAGCGGTGGCCCTCAACCCTCCCACCTGGCTCACCCCAGCCTGCAGGTTTGGAGCACACTCAATCGCAAGTAGAGAAAACCCAGCTGCAGTGGCTTAGACAAACGGAAGTTCACGTTCCCTCTGCTTTTCACCTTGGCCAGGGGTTTAGAGTCTTTCTCCCTTCAGTTCTTCTAGCCCTTAATCCCCCAGACATGGCAGCCAGCCTTCAAAGGAGGAGGGAGGGGAAATAAACTTGCCCAAATCTCCCACCTGTCTACCCCTTACGTTGGGAAGAGCCAGTGTTCTTTAAGAAGCCACTCCTCTCCCAACCAACGCAAACGTCTGTTACTCATTCCCTCGTCCAGAATGGGTCACATCGCGTCCCTAGCTGCAAGGGAGGCTGGAAAGACGGGGAGTTGGCGTCACTGTAATAGTCTGAGACCAGCCGGCCGCAGCTTTTCTCCTTGGGCCGAGAACGCTGCCATTCGGCACAAAAGTGACGTTCTTTCAGCCAGGAAGGCGCTGGGACACGATGCTAGGCCGACCGCTCAGGGAGTCTCCGCCCTCACGCAGGAGTCCTTAGCCCGTGAGCTCTTCTCACTGGCTCATCCGCATGGCGAGGAAGCCCATGCCTGGAAGGGGGCCCAGCCACCGCTCGGCGTTTCCTTCTCAGTCAGGTGTCACTGTCACTTCTGTTCTGCGTGGGCTCCACACCTGTCCCCACCTGGGGCTGTGGGGACCGTGTAGCTAGAGTTGGACTGAGATCCAGCCGGGTCTGCAGACTCCCATCACGGGGAGACAGACAGGAGCACCAGTGCCTTCCGCATGGCACCCCAGCCCTGGGACACGGGCGGGGAGAGGGCCTCCTCACCCAGAGAGGGGGACAGAGCAAAGCCGGGGGTGGGGGTAGGGGTGGGGGACTCCAGGCCAGGAAGACTCTCAGAGCTTGGGCAGGAGGAGGGGCTGAGAAGCAAGGAGACACGGATGGTGTCGCAGCAGCTCAGATGCTTTCTTGTGCTGTCACCTCAGTCGGCCCACGGGGCCCTGGAGGCAGGGACGGTGGCTTATCTGTTATCCCTCTTGTGTGTCCCCAGAAGTACCCCAGTGCCTGGACCGTATCTGCAGCCCTATAAGTGTTTAGTTAGAATAAATGCGTTAATGTGGAAATAAATAGATCATTACCCAGGCCATGGAAATCTCTCGGCCAAAGGGATAGAATTACAGGCTGAGAGGGACTGTGGAAGCCAAGCAGGTGAGCCTGGGGGCCCCACAGGCCGGGGAGCTGCTGGACGGGGTATTCTGGGAGCCATGTGTCCTGACTGAGCGGAGTCAGCTATAAATTGCCCGGAAGCCTCTCAGGCTTAGTGATGTCCCCAAAGGGGTGGCAGCTGGCGTGGGGAGTCTGGCTCCCCAGAGTGGCCTGGCCAAGTGCTGACGCTGCGGGGAGACTATTTTTTTCTGCCTTTGGGGCCTTCGGCCTGTCCCTGTCCGCTGGGGCTCGGGAATCAGGCTGTCCCCTGGGATAGCTGCGGAGACCGGGCTCAGTGGCTCTGCCCCCCTCCTGAGCCCCAGCCACCAGCCCTGGGGTTCGCTCATAATCAAGGCTAGAACCTCCGAGTCAACTCATTTCAGATGACGCACGCTCCCCAGCCAGTCACTCTGGCCGGCTGCCGAAGTTAAAGCCATCGGTCGCCACCCCACAGCTGCCACCATCCTGGGTGGAGCCGTCTAAATATCACCCAGCGCCTGCCTCCTCCCTCGGACCGGGTCCTCGACAGACAGCTCGGTGCTGGGTCCAGAATACCTTCTGCCATGGGGCTCGTCAAACCCCCTGGTGCTTTTTAGGATCAGCATTAAAAATAGCTCCTCCCGCCCTAGCTTGTTCGGCTCAGTGGATAGAGCGTGGGCTTGAGGACTGAAGGGTCCCGGGTTCAATTCCGGGCAAGGGCAGGTACCTTGGTTGCAGGCTTGATCCCTGGCTCTGGTCAGGGTGTGTGCAGGAGGCCACCAATCAGTGTCTCTCTCTCTCTCTCTGTCTCTCCCCCTCCCTTCCGCTCTCTGTAAACATCAATGGAAAAATATCCTCGGTGAGGATTAGCAAAAATAAAAATGAAAGAATAGCTCCTTCCAAATCAGGAAATGACCTCACTCATTCCCCTCACTGCTGGGGCAAGGGGCCCCACGCCTGCCCCACCCTCGAACGTGTGTGCCCCAAAGGTGAGGAGAGGGCATTGCGCGTGGAGCTGATGGGATGCGGATGTGCCTAGCGACGTGTGGTTATAACAATAACGCCTGTGACCAGGTTGCTTCATGGGCGGGGTGTCCATACTAAGCCGCCTCAGGGGCTCAGAGGGGCCTCCCCGCAGCCCAGTCCTGTCCTGGGCATGGTCTCGCCCCATCCTCAGTGCAGCTCCAGGACACGCGTGTGCTCGGGAGGGCCTCCCACGTTACCGACCCGCACACCCAGACCGAGAGCTTGGGAGGCGGGGAGGGGAGCCCACACTGGGACCCAGGCCTCTCGAGTTCAGAGTGGGTGCCTCTGGGATTTATAGGGCAACTACAGAGCCCTTTTTCCTTCCAGCCTTTTCCTTTTAAGCGAGGAATCATGAGGACGCTTATGGATACCCTATCATGAAGCATGTTTTACTGCATGGCTTGCCCTGCTGCCTTCGTACGGCCCAGCAGTTTTGCATTCTCCTGGATTTGCACCTGCAGCTCCTTAAGGTGCATAAGAGGCACCTTCTGGTGGCTCCCTGGCACAGAGGACCAGGTCAGGGGCGCCTGCTGACTTGGATTTTCACGTCCAAGTGTACGCCTTTCTCGGGGAGGCTCCCTCTGCGGCGTCTGTACGTCTGTCTCAGCCTTCCTGCTCCTTCAGGGGAACCTCCAGCCTCGCTTCCCAGGGAGGCCCCTGCCCTCCCCACGCTGGGCCGGGCCAGGAGACGGCTTTGTGCCCAGAGCCCCCAGCACCCATGCCCTTTCCTGCCCCGTGTCACCTGTCCATCCTGGGTTTGGCGTCTGCCTTCCTCTCATGGCAGACCCTCTGGGCTCCTCCCGGGTGGGGATGGGGCCTCCTTCACATGTGCATCTGCTCCAGGCACTGGACCCCTCCATGCAGTGAGATGGGGGATCCGAGTGGACCCCTCCATGTAGTGAGATGGGGGATCCGAGTGGACCCCTCCATGCAGTGAGATGGGGGATCCGAGTGGACCCCACATGCTGTGAGATCGGGGTGGGGGGATCCGTGTGAGATCACGTTCCCAGAGGGACTGTGGCTACCATGGGCTCACTGGCCTCTCTGTTGCTCTTGCTTCTCAGACGTGCTGTGCCCCAGCGTCCGCGTGGAAGGACATCGCTTTAAGCACACCAACGGCGGGACCAGGGAAATCACAGGTGAGAGGAAGCGGCCCCCACGCGTGCCCGCCCGCCGCAGTACTTGCTGGACCTGCGCCCGACTCTCCCCGATGCAGGGCGGCCTCGCCCTCCTGGGCCCGGGCCTGTCTTTAACCAAAGACCCGCTAGGATGGTCTGAACTGTGCCGGTGGCCAGACCCTTCCACAGACTGCCTGCCCGTCAGGAAGTGCTCGTTTCCCCGGGCTGGTGACCTGTGGGGGTCACTGGGTGGTGCGGGCGCTGGAATGAGCGGTGACCCAGCTGTGCATGAGTAAGCGGGATTGGCAGGGCCAGCGGGAGGGAATGACGCAGGCGCTGGGAGTGAAGGGGCGGGCGAGTCACAGTTGTAAATGTGTGAGTGAATCGATGGTGAGAGCACGAAGGGACAGGGGACCAAGCCTCTCCTCAGAGGCTGTCTCTGGTGACGGGTGCTGGGCCAGGCGACGGGTGCTGGGCCAGGCGGGCGTGGCTCAGGTGGCTGCCCATCATCCTGATAAGGACTAGCTCTGTTTCCTCCTCCCTGCGGCCCGGTGTCCTGCCTGCAAAGCACTTTAAGGCCTGACCTCAGGCACTTTTCTCCCCCCGGCCACCATGCCTGGGGTCCAGTTCTGGCCCATGTGTGATGTCCACGGGTCAGGCTCCCCTCCAGGCAGTGAGCGGGGGACGTTCAGGACAGGGTGCTATGCAGGCGCTGCCAGTCCCCGCCCCATCCCAGGACCTGCCAGGTCAGGGGCTGCTGCTGGGGACTCAGAGGTGCCAGCCCCGCCTCTTGGGCCTGGGGGCTGTTGAGAGAATGGGGGTGGGTGGGCGTGCTGCCTGGGAGCACTGGGCGGAGAGGGAGGGGCTAGCAGTCCTCAGGAGCAGCCCCCAACAGTGACTGTTTTCCTTTAATATATTTTTGTTGATTTCAGAGAGGAAGGGAGAGGGAGAGGGGGAGAGAGAAACATCAGTGATGAGAGAGGATCATTGATGGCTGCCTCCTGCACGCCCCACACTGGGGATCGAGCCCGCACCCCGGGCAGGTGCCTCCACTGGGAATCGAATGGTGATCTCTTGGTTCATAAGTCACTGCTCAACCACTGAGCCACACTGGCCGGGCCAGCCAGTGCCCATTGATGTTGAGACCCCTTGGGCCCCATTTCCAGTTCCCCGTTGGATCCAGCTGCAGGCACAGCCCCACACTCTTACCAGCTGCTTCCTTCCCTGCCCCGCCCCCACTGCCCCGCCAGCACCTCCTAACCTCCAGCACCCGGTTCCTGCTCGGTGCCCAGGAGGTGCCAGCACCATCTGCTTTCTTTGTCCGACTCATGAAATGACTCAGCCTGTTCGCCTTGTTAACTCGATTACCTTCAAGTGAATGTGTTCACAGCTGAGTCACTGCCCATTGGGGGACACTGCTGGCCACCCCCGCTGACTGCCCTGGTCCTCCGTCCCCAGCCGGGCTCTCACGGCACCCGGTCTCGGTGGGAGGCCCGGCGCCTGCCCCGGCCCCGCACCTTTTCCTGGGACGGGAATTGCAAGGGGAGCTGGACCTCTCCTCACTCACTGCTGTGCTTGCTCCCGAGTATGTCCCTGCAGGGGTTCCCCCGCGGAGCCCCGTCGCTCCCGGGGCGGGGGGCCGGCTGCCTCTGCGGAGCGAGGGGCTGCTCCTTGGTCCCCGTGCTCCTCTCTCCAAACTCACCCCACTCCCGCCATGAGCGCTCCCAGTGCTCAGGTTCCACACCTGCCCTTACACTCCCGCCTGCCCACAGGGTTTGACCTGATGAATCTGTTCCGCGTGAAGGACGTCCTGGGGCAGCGAGAGGACGGGGCGCAGAGCTCCTACGTCCGGATGGGGTCCTTCCCCGTGGTGCAGAGGACAGAGTGAGTGCTCCCTCTCCTCTGCGGCGGGGCTTGTGGGAGGACGAGGCCAGGCCACTGGCTTCCTGCAGACAGTCGCCATTAATGCCCTTTCCCATCCTCATTGTCATAACTTTTCCTTGTTTTTCCATATATATATATATATTAGTGCAGTGGTGGCGAACCTTTTGAGCTCGGCGTGTCAGCATTTTGAAAAACCCTAACTTAACTCTGGTGCCGTGTCACATATAGAAATTTTTTGATATTTGCAACCATAGTAAAACAAGGACTTATATTTTTGATATTTATTTTATATATTTAAATGCCATTTAACAAAGAAAAATCAACCAAAAAAATGAGTTCACGTGTCACCTCTGACACGCGTGTCATAGGTTCGCCATCACTGTACTAGTGTGTGTGTGTGTGTGTGTGTGTGTATATATCTCCTAAGAAAAGCCTTAGTTCTTTTCTCTGTAGACATAGAAAAATAGAAACAGATGTAGATATAGTATAGGTAGCTATAGGCATAAATATATAGATAGAATAATGTATAGCATATAGAGATGTATCTCTGTATACACATCCACACACACGTGTGTGTTCTTTCAAAGGTATAAGAAGAAAATGTGTTTAGACAACAGCAGCAGACTAGTTGGACTCATGAATAACACAGAGAAAGTGAGGGAGTGAACTTTGGCTGCGGAGCCCGTGTGTGCGGATGGAGGGGAAGTCCAGGCCATGGCCCCAGCGTCCCTGGATCCCGAGGAGGCCCAGGCGCTGAGCCCAGCGCTGCTGCCCGTGCCCGGTGTGGCCTGGGAAACCAGCTCAGACAGGGATTGGAACA